AAACCAGAAATTAAAAAATAAACTCAGACCAATACAATTTGGTTTACACTAAACCAAATCTAAAAAGAAAGAAAAAAAACCTAAACCTAAAAACAAAAAAGAACTCAGCCGCCAAGCCGCCTGCCTTCATCTTCATCCACCTTCATCCATTGTCTTGTTCTGCCCAGGTCGTCATGCTCAGCTCCGGCGTGTTCTCAGATCCAAGCTGTGGTATCCGGTACACCGTGAATCGAAGCTGTCAAGAACAAAAAAAAAAGATTCAACAGAGATAAAGAGAGAGAAATAGAGATAACAAACAGAAAGTAGAGAGCGAGACAGAGGGAAACAGAGAGAGACAGGAAGTTCCGGTGATAAGCAGAGGAGGAGACGCGGTGGTGGTGAGAAGAGGAGGAGATGCAGTGGTGGTGAGAAGAGGAGGAGACGTGGTGGTGGTTTGACGAGGAGGAGACGTGGTGGAACAGATATGGGAGAAAAGAAAGATATGAGAGTGAAGGAGAAGATGAAGAAGATGAAGATTGAATCAGAAAAAAAAGAGAGAATGAGATATGTCGTGGAGAGAAAGAGAGAGAGAGAGGGAGGAAAAAATAAAAAAATAAAATGAATAAATCTCAACCTTTAGATCTTAGTTAATCCAATGCTTAGGAAGTGTGATCCATGTACTTAAATCTTATTGGCCAGAAAATTTTATTTTTCTTTTTCTATTTTTGTCTTTGTCTTCAATATTTGATAATTTGTTTTGTAAGTAACTTTTCTTTGTTATATCTTATATAAAACTTTATATTTTGTAGTTTATAATTTAAATTTAAAGTTTTTCTTTTTGACATAATAAAATGATATTGATTTTAAGAACTGATATTTAAATTTGAAAATATTAGATTGATATCAAGATTATGCTTTTCGTCACCATTTTAAAAATTTGTATGTTTATACTAAAATCTGGTTTATTGTTTAATCTGATTTGTAATTCGTTTATGAATTTGTATGTTTGATTTTTAAGTCGAAAAGTTTTTAAATTAGGTTTTATGGTTTAAAAGAAGTTATGATTAAGAGTAAAATTTGGTTTTGTGTTTTAAGGTTTAGATGTTGAAATATGAGGTTTAGGGTTAAAGTTTAGTATTTTGGATTAAAGTTGGAAAATAATAGAATAGAAGACTAGATATAAAATTTGTACTTAAATTTTTAATAATTTAGATCTGAAGTGTATNTTTTTAAATTAGGTTTTATGGTTTAAAAGAAGTTATGATTAAGAGTAAAATTTGGTTTTGTGTTTTAAGGTTTAGATGTTGAAATATGAGGTTTAGGGTTAAAGTTTAGTATTTTGGATTAAAGTTGGAAAATAATAGAATAGAAGACTAGATATAAAATTTGTACTTAAATTTTTAATAATTTAGATCTGAAGTGTATACTTAAAGTATTTGATGTATAGTTTATGTTTGAAGTAATGGTTTAGAATATAGAGTTTCATTGAAGATAAACGATATGTGTTTAGTAAATTATAGCTTAAAATTAAGAAGATGAAATTTTGAGTTTAATTTTAAGATTTGAAGTTAAAGTATGAAAAATAAAGTTTTAGGGGTTGTATTTAGAGTTTAGGGTTGAAAACCATGTTTGGGGTTTAGGGGTTCGAATAGATTTTTATAGCATTATAAAAATGCTATTATATGTCTTTGATAATATTTTCGAAGCCACTCAGATAATATTTTGGGCGCTTACATCCAATTACCCACTAAGTATTGGCGGTATCAGGGATTTTATTTTCCCGATCACTTCATTTTCAGAATAGCATTGCTTAAGTGCTATTTTAGGTTTTCATTTATTATAGCGTTTATCTAATGCTATTATATAAAACGGAAAATTTTAAGTCATCTACGATAGCAGTTAAGTAAAACGTGCTATAACAATATGCTATCAATGTAGACTTTTTTTGTAGTGCATGATACTTTGAAACAAATAAAAACAACAACAAAAGAAACAACATATGCATCATACGACCATTAATCTTATGATCCAATTTGTGATCTGCCTTGTGATCCTCCCTGATAGAACATATACAAAATTGAGATCTTCGAGAATCGATATGATATAAAAGCAGACAGAAAATAACAATAAAAGTGTACATGATCCTTCTTTGGCCGACCCCTTGGACGTTTAGGTTCAGGCTGAACACTGGTTTTGAACAATGTCGGCTTGGTATATCCTTCTTATCTACAATTAGAGCATGTCATGACACACTTCTCACGGCTTAACTTGGTTTTACTAGAGGACGAGGATGATTCATTTGCACTTTTTCGTCTCGCGTAAGTGCTTGGTCTTCCTCTATTACCTAACCTATTTGGTGGAAGTAAGACTGGTAACCTATTTAGCCTAGGCCATAACTTCATCCCTTCCACATGCCTAATACTACACTGATAAGTTTTTCTCCATCCTATAGTAGTGTAATAATCAGAAATATAGTCATCTACTTTTTCTTTCTTTGCATTGATCACACAAGCAGCATGGTTACAAGGAATTCCATTCAATTTCCACATTCCGCAACCACATGTTTTCAGACCCATATCAACGCTATACGAGCAGTCATGATACTCAATTTCTTAAACATCACCTGTGGCCATGTATCTAATACAATCTTAAGACTTAGCTATAGCAGTTTCTATAGCAATATGTGCCCTTTTTGTGTATCTAGTATTCAATGTATTAGAAATAATAGACCTTTTTGCTGTGCTTACCATACATTGTCGCCTAATATCTTCTAACATGTCAAGTAGTGGTTTTCTCCTAACCTTGCGAATGGTTTTGTTAAAACATTCATTCAGGTTGTTCAAATTATCAGTACAACAAGAACCAACCTTAAAATAAGCTCGAGACCATGTATGTGGATTGGTGGCTTGTAGAGTTTGATGCGCTAGGTGATTGTAGCTCTTCAACTCATTCATATGCTCTGTAAAGTCTCCTAAGGTGTAGCTACGAGCTATTTTCCAGAACAGTCTCTCTAGTTGTGGGTTGTGGATGTATCTCTTCCTGTTTCCTAGAATATGTCTCGCACACATGCGATGTTCTGCATTGGGAAGTTCGAGGTGAACCGCTTTCACCAAACCCTTCAAACTAGAAAACATGTAAGATACCAGTGTACCAAAACAAACAAATTACACCAAGATCTATACCTTTTGCTTATCGAATATGAATGTAAAGTTACTCCCATCACCGAGTTGTAAATCCAGTTTTAGGTGATTCACAAACCATGCCGAATTAATGTCATTTTTGATCTCTACGACTGCCCACACAATCGGGACAATTCTGTTATCTCCATCTCTTCCAACAGCAGCAAACAACTGGCCTTTCACATCCCATTTTAGAAATGCACCATCTAGTCCTATGATCGGTCTACAAGTCGATTTCCAAGCTGCACGTTGTGCTTCAAAACAAATGTAGATACGATCAAACCTATGTTTGCTCCTTGGTGTTTGTACAGGAATGGTCACTATCTCAGTTATGGTTCCCGGATTAGTCTTTTTAAGCTTTGCTTCATAATCCCAAATTCGAGAAAAGTGTGTGTTCGTGGCTTGTTCTTCTTTCTCTTGTGACTTTAGTCTTAGATTTTTGACATTGGTCTTCAGTAACAATTAAGTTGTATGTTCTCTTGATCTCTTCATCAATTTCCTTAGTTGTAAGTTTAGGATTCAGCCTCAACCTTTCCTTAAACAGTTGCGCAATTGATGAAGGCTTCAACATCTTCGAGTAACCATAACGTATACAAGCGTGTTCATTAACATAAACCTTTATCTGCAGTTTATGTTTCCTCTTATCATACGAACAATACACTCTCCAAGGACAATCATACTCAGTGTCAGAGCAAACAACACTAAACTTCATTTGTGTTGATATGTATAGTTTGATATCATATCTTGTTTTCAGAGAATACCTAAGAAGAGCTTGCTTGAACTCTGATGCAGATGAAAATGTTTTCCCCAACGCTAAGAGATCATTGTCTGATGCTGCATCTTCATAAGCTTCCCTTCACGCATCTTCTTCCTCTTCATTAGATGATACATGATCAGGAATATTATCATCATTCCAGCAATCATCATCTCCACTATCATTGTTTTCGTCTCCATCTTTACTTGCAACATCTCCAAAGTGGGATGAGAAAACTTCACAAGCTTCTTCTTCAGTTTGCACGCTACACCTTTCTTCTTCTGAAACCTCATTCCCATATTCTTCGATCTCATCACCAGGATCATAACCAATAGTCTCACAATCATCACCAGGTACAAGTTCACACTCATTTCCGCCATAGATTTTGAATACAGTCGATCCTCTTTCATCACCTTCAACAACAGGTTCAGGTTCTCTACCTTTGCCTCGACGTAGTGGAAGCTTTTTCTTTATCACCATATCAGTGAAAAAACGATTTACAGTTTTAATCGAAGGAGAAAAAAAAGAAGAGATGATAATGATTTGAAGAAAAGATGATCTGAAGTTTTAGTATGAATGAAAAGAGAACCTTGGCAGAAAACTGAATGAAAATAAAAGGACGAGATGAGTTATGGCTCTTACAAGTATCGTTTTTGATTCTTTAGGTTTTTGTTCTATTCTTAAAATGACACCACATCATTAGCCGTTAAGATTACATAGAGGTTAGGCCGTAAATTAAATTGAGAAAACGTGTACCTAATATGGCTCAATATTATATAAGTTTGTGATTTGTTTGAGTTAAGGAAAGTTTGTATTTGTTTTAGAGAATTTGAGATAGTTTGTGTTGGAATTTATGAGATATTTATGTTTATACAAGGCTGAAAATCAGGTTCTACATGATAATCTATAAATATATTTATTTTAACATATAAAATGTCAACATATGTTTAAAAGAGTTGCTTGGGCTAAAGAAAAAATCTTGCATACGCAAAATTAAAAAAACACTCTATAAGTACCAATCCAAAACGTTTTTGACATGTCCTAAATCATGAACCTGAATGAGTTGAGCTTGAGATTGATAAGGAAGCTCACATTAGCTGAGAAAGGGCTACTGCAATCTGCGAACCGATAAGTGCATTGTTTTTCACAAGCGCAATGTCTGAAACTGTGTCAAGGAACTCAAGCTTTACAATGCTGAGACATTGCTGCTTTTGGATGCAATATAAATTTCTTCACCACTTAAAGTGACTAGACAGTGAAACATTTTAGTAGATTATTATAAAAGATTAAGGAAACTTCTAGAGAAATGATACTTGCTGCAAGTGAAGTGCCTCCAGTCAGCTCATTTACCCGTGCAAGTAAGAACGGAGTTTCTGCATTTCCAGTAACGTTTTGTTCCCTGACAAAAACCGAATTCAGGTTTCAGATTTGAGAAAATAAGAAAAAGAAGCAAAGCTTCTTATGACCTTGCATTTGTAAGAGCACGCTGTGTTGCTGATTCGATAAGGTTTCCTGCGGCTGAATGCTGTTTCGGGATTGGAACAGCAAATAGAATCCCTGCCTGACGGTTTAGCTTCATGTTTGCATCTGACAAAAGTGGTTTTCTCACGGTGGTAAGAGATATGAAGTACTTTTAAGAAAAGGAAATTCTGAGACAAATTCTACACTTGCCTATTACTCGAGCACAGTCTTCAGGGCTATTCACACGAGAATGTGCCTAAAGAATCCAGTATATCTACATTAGAAGCATATATCTAAACAGAACCAAGCGATTGAGATCAGCGCTAATGGAACATTTTGCACCTTACAACCGTTTTTTTCTGTGAAAACTGCTGGAAACTCATCGCTCTTGTAGGCAGCAACATACACTTCTTGAGTTTCCTGCATTGTCAACGAGTAGCTCCTATCAAAACTCTAAACTCTAAAATGTTGACTATTAAGGATCGAAGAACAACTATATACCAAATATTCAAGAGTTTTTGGAATATCAAGTATGGATTTAACGCCTGCTGATATAACAGCTATAGGTGTCCTTCCAAGTGCAGTAAGATCAGATGATATGTCCATAGCTGCATCACAAACACAAATTAGCAGCTGCATATTGGCTTCAAAAGTATTTCACACCATCATCTAACCATGTAGATAGAAGTTTTGAAAATTGAAGGTACAAAATGGACGCGAAGCTTACTATAGTTGGCATGCCTATGCACACCTCCAATTCCACCGGTTACAAATACTTGGATGCCAACCTACGACGACAACCGAAGTCCTTTGAATAGACGATACCAATATCACTAAAGAAGGATCTATGAACAAAATGAGTTACCATTGAAGCGAAAACAACGTTGCAGAGACTGTAGTTGCACCATTTCCTCTTGTAGCCACCTAAAGTAAAAAAAATTAGGCAAAAGAAGGCTATAAGGATGAAGAAGAAGAAAGCAGTCTATGTTGATTGAATAGAGAGAGTCAGGAAGAAGTGAGTAGAGCACAGAGTGTGACTCACAACATGTGGTATGTCCCTTCCCGCAGTCTTTTGGACACTTTTTCCCAGAGATGCAAGACGTTCTAGTTCTTCTTCATTTAAACCTGTTTACTAAAAATTAGCATGAGAGGAAAAAAACTACTGCTTTTGATCCTTTACCTAATAGTAAGAGTTTCTATAAACAATGATATGTTGAAAACAGAGATAACGATGAAGGCGAAATGAACTCACTTAGTTGAAGCCAACACATGATTCAGATAAAAATGAACTAACCTATGCAAGGAACTCCGTTCAAGATAGCTATAGTGGCAGGGACATCTCCATTTTCTCTCACGATTGACTCAACCTCTTTTGCTGTTTGCAGATTTTGAGGGTAAGGCATACCTTCGAAATGCATAGTTGAAAGTAAGACCAATATCCAAGAAACACATGCCTAATAAGTTGTGGAAACAGCAAAAAGAGAAAAAAAAACAAAACCATGGGAGATTATGGTTGACTCAAGAGCGACCACAGCACGTCCGTTGGATAAGGCTTCAGACACTTGTGGAGATATCTTGACCAGACTCCTTAAGCGGTTTAAAACCCAATTGATCAGCGAGTAAGAGTAATAGAAAGCAAATCAAGATGAGACGAGAGTAATAAAAAAAAAAAGAAGACTATTTCGAGAAGAATAAAAACAAAAGGGTGCATCCTTTTTTTTTAATAGAGAAACCTTGTTATTTTCTTCAAGAGGGGATATATGATTCTGGAGATTTGAGATTCGATAATGAGCAGAGGAAGAAGCCATTTCTCTTGGAGAAAGAAGACGAAGTACTACTGTAACTCTCTCTCTCTCTCTCCACCTAGGTTGTAGAAAAACAGGAAAAAAAAGCAAGACAAACAAACCGGAACTTGAAAAATGTGAAACTATCTATATACACTGGTATTTTTATCTACCGGACTGGTTCATGATTACTGATCGGTTCGGATGATTTCGGTATTGTAAGAAACGTTGGAGAGACTGAGAAAGAGAGAGAGATCTCCAATTTTAATCCCAGTGTTTTGGAGCATTATCTCCGATCGGATCCGATCGCAGTCACCGTCGCCGGCATTCCTTACGGCCGTTTGCTTTTCGTCCTCGCCCTGCATTCTCTCTCCGTAAGCTTCTTCGATTTTTGCACTAATTTTTCCTGATCTCACCTAAAGTAGTGGCGACTACTCTTGATCTAATAATGGTTGCGTCGTCTTGATCTTGATCTTGATCTTGATTTTAATCTTGATCTTGATCTTGATCTTGATCTTGATCTTGATCGCTACAAACCCTAATTCATCTTCTCAAAACTTGTCCCTGATCTTTTGTTTTACAGATCATTTTCACAAGCCATGGATAAGACGAGTGCTTTAGAGTATATCAACCACATGTTTCCAACAGGTGAGCAACTCGATTTCATCTTTATTTGATTCTGTAATCAGGACCAGCTGGTAGTTTCTAAATGCTATCAAAATGGCTGTGTTTCCTTTTACAGAAGCATCCCTATCTGGCGTTGACCTACTTATGCAAAAGATTCATGGTGAGATTCGCCGCGTTGATGCTAGCATACTCTCTGCTGTTCGTCAACAGGTTTTGTGGCCCCTTTCTTCAATTTATTTTTATGTGAAACTTACTCTTCTTAAGCTTTAGATAGGTTTTGAGCTTACAACACTTCGTCGATTTTTGCTTTTCTACTTAAATCTTTTATCGAACATTTGTGACCCATTCCTTCTGAATTACGTGTGGATGTGTACATTGAGTCAACATTTATATTGTACTACTATGCACAAAGAAAAGCAACATATTTTCAAAGAATAATCTATGCTTCTCAATCTTATTCCAGAGTAACTCGGGAACTAAAGCTAAAGAAGATCTTGCTGATGCTACACGTGCTGTGGAGGTTAGTTTTTTCATTAGTGTGTTAATTTATTATTTCCTTTTTCGTTTCTCCTCTCATTTCTCTATCCATTCATTCGCATTGGGAATTTGATTTTTCCTTCTAATTAACACAGGAACTCTCATACAAGATTCAAGATATAAAATCCAAAGCTGAGCAAAGTGAAGCAATGGTGCAAGAAATATGCCGTGACATTAAGAAGCTAGATTTTGCAAAAAAGAACATAACCACGACCATCACTGCTCTTCATCGCCTCACAATGTTAGGTCAGTTAGCAGTGATTTATTCCGTTCAGGTAGTTCATTATTTTTACCGTATCTGATCATAGCATCCTGAAATCAGAATCAGAGTTTAAGTGTAATGGAGCCCTATAAAAATGTGGTTCCAAGACATGCATGATGTTTCTGGTTTACCTACTTGTGGATCTATGTTAATCTCTATATGGTAACAAATAGATGCCATGAGTGTACTATAAGTGACGAAGTACACTAATCTCATTAATAAAATTCGCTACCTTGCTATGGCAGTCTCTGCTGTTGAACAGCTTCAGGTGATGGCGTCAAAAAGACAACACAAGGAGGCAGCTGCACAACTGGAGGTATCTTTTTATTTTATTTCAACAATTTTGCGTTTGTTTCTTGTGTACCGTTGGTTGTAGTTCACTTGCTTTTTTAGTTTTCTGTTTGCCCAAGGCAGTTATTTTTGAAAATCTTCTTTAACCCTATGCCACTTATCTGGATCTAGCAGAACACTATTCTAACTTTCTGATTATACTTATAAGATTCTGATTTTATAATATATTTCAGGCCGTAAACCAATTATGTAATCACTTCGAAGCGTACAGAGATGTTCCTAAAATCATGGAGCTCAGGGAAAAGCTTAATAATATTAAGCAGATCCTTAAGTCCCATATATTTTCCGATTTTTCCAGGTAATGCTTTTAATGATCCTACCATTGTTTACATACTATAAATAGTTCAACATAAATAGCCAAAAGTGATCCACTGGAGTCCTAAAGGTTGATCCTGCTTCTTTTTCTCTATTTCTTATCTTCAATCTAAAGCAGATTGCAGCGTATCAGGAGATGAATTTTGCAATTTTATGTCAGAAATCGGTACAACATGCTTGTTGGCTGGCATGCTCTCTTGTTAGAGTAGTATCTGCATAGTAATTAGGTTTTTTACTGCTTCTTGTTGGTGCTACACTCTTAAAAATCGATTTTGATTTTTTTTTTTTTAAATTCCCCCCTTCTCATTCTCCACATTGCCCCTTATTTGTTGATTTCCTTAAAGGTACTTTTCCCAACAATGTATATTGTTGTGATCTCAGTTTAGGTACCGGGAAAGAGACAGAGGAAACAAATTTGCTGCAGCAGTTATCTGATTCTTGTTTAGTTGTTGATGCTTTGGAGTCATCTGTGAGGGAAGAGTTGGTAAACAACTTCTGCAGCCGGGAGCTAACCTCATATGAACAAATTTTTGAAGGAGCTGGTATGTTGCATAATCTCGAACGTTTTCATATATTCTTGGACATAATTGCTGAGTGTTTAATTGTTGGCAGAATTGGCAAAGCTGGATAAAACAGAGCGGAGATATGCATGGATAAAGTTTCGCATCCGTACAAACGAAGAAATTTGGAAGATTTTCCCTGCTTCTTGGCATGTGCCGTATAGACTTTGCATCCAGTTCTGCAAGAAAACAAGGTATTGCGTCTTAATTTTTAGATGAACATTTATCTGGCCTTCGCTTCAATGTTGTAGTTCTTCATTTTGCTCAGATATTCTTCTTTTTTCCTCTTGGAGTTCTTAAAAACTAGGACATGGCAACATAACATCTTTTACTATTCTGAACTAGATATTTAACATGCACTTTTATTGTTACGACATAGCTACATAACACCCCTACTTTGCGTGGGTGTAAATGGAAAATTCGATAAAGAGGAAACGTTCTGATACAGACAAATTGATTCGTATATGAATTATTAGTCGCAAGTATTTGGGAATGGTTCATAATTTTTAACAAATGCATGCTTTATAAATAGCTACTAATAACTAAAGTCAATTTAGTTCTTTTAGATAGATGCTAAAAGTCAATTTGCTAGAAGTACCACATCTCCTTTTGATATTGTAAGTCTCTCTCTAATCTCTGCTTTAGTTAGGGATGATTTCTATTTTGGTGTGTATGCTTTGCTACTTTGTAGTCACTATGCTGTAAAAATATAGCGGCAGTATTAACTGTTAATCGTAATCAAGCAACAATACTCAACTTTCTTAAACGTCCTGTGTTCCCATCATTTTTTTTTCAGGAAACAAGTAGAATCTATTCTGGTCAACATGAAAGAGAAACCAGAAGTAGCGACGTTGCTACTGCTCAGCCATGCTTTCTCTGATAAATAATAGCATACACATGCTTGTCTTAACATAAAAAAAAATCAGCATATTTATCAGATGGATTGTATAGGAGCGTTGTGTCACCTCTGAAGAAAAATCTGATGATTATAAATCTTATTATCATGGCCCTCGTTTTCAGTGTCATGAAATCCTGTTACTTCTTAATATTTTGTGGAATGTTTCAGGCCTCCATTAAAGTTTGATGTGAATGATTAGGCACTAAAAAGGACAGTGGAGTTTGAAAAGGAACTTGAAAAGAAATTTGGTGGTGATGTTCCTACTAGTGATATCGAAGATGACATTGAAGAAATTGGTACGTGGGAAAACAATAGTCAGAATATATCCAAAATTCGCAAGAAGTATGAAAAGAAATTTGCTGCTGGTCAAGAATCTGGAGAAAATGTATGTTTTATGTTTTCATATGTATTATGCAAAACTCTGTAGTGATGTTTTATGATCGCCAAAATTTTATGATGATAATGTTTGCTGTCTCTGTTTCAACAGGAAAAGACCGTGAACAAAAATTTATCAGCTCCTGGAGCTGGGGTACATTTCCTTTTTCTTGTTATCGCCTCCTCTGATTTTGGCTGTTGTTATTTCTATTGTAGTTCTGGAATATCGTAAAAAGCAAGTGAAAGTGCCCTAAATCTTACGAAAAGGCATAATATTGTTTTGATAGAAGACTTTCCTAGCATTTGTCGGATTTCCTTACTCACTGATGTAAATCTCGACCTGGCAGTTCAATTTCCGTGGAATTATATCTTCTTGCTTTGAACCTCATTTAACCCCATATCTCGAGTTGGAAGAAAATACACTTATGGAACGCCTAGAGAAAGTGGTTCAGGTAAATCTTTTTTCTGTGTAACAAAATTGTTTTTGATCCAAGCTTTGTCAAGTTTGCGTAATTTTCACTTCTTCATCAGGAGGAAACATGGGATATTGAGGATGGAAGTCAAAATTATGTTTTACATAGCAACACTCAGGTGAGTAGCTAGGCAAGCTTCTTTAAGTAGGGTTATCCTTTATTCATTGTATTAACTGATTCACGACTTGCACTAGGTAGTAGCATGGGTAGTTTGACTCTTTATATAGATGTGTTAAAAGACTCTTTATTTGAAAGATTGAACTAACTCGGTCGTTACTCATTGAGCTGGATAGAAATCGGGTCATGTCCTAGGGATGTTTGAGTATTTAGTAGGAAACGTTTTCTGTGTGGAACTGGATATATCATAACTAATTTGATATTAGTAGAGTAGTCGGTGAGAACTTGCTAACATTCCTATATGAACTGTACTTGTCACATTATATTTTGTCTTTTGTGGTCATTCAAATTTAGTTTTGTAACATAGTGTACGGTTATCTTGTTTGCAGTTGTTTAGCGATATAAAAAAGAATTTGAAACGGTGCAGTGTTCTCACTAAGAACCAGACTTTATTCAATTTGTTCAAGGTACATTCTTCATTCGTCTATATGGGTTTCATATATTTACTG